ATATGCCAAACACAGTAACAACAAAGTCTCCAATGGAGACGTTACTGGGCCCCGCTCGAGCAAATCGATGAACAACGGGAGGACAGTGACAGTGACAGTGACTGCCAGGGGCCTCTGAGGTCATAGCTCACAGAGCACCTTGGATTTTAGTAGAGGAAACAAATGCAGTACTGGTGAATATAATCTGCACGGTAAAGGAAATAACTCTGAGTTGTATTGGAAAAATGACGAAAAGGCAGAAATGTGACCAAGATAAAGACACCACATCTTTTGGGTTAGTATTGAATCTGACAGAATGGCTTAGGTAAATCTTATAGATCCACTCTGCGTTACACCAGAGTAAAATGGCAAGATAATAAAACTTGTGTGATGTGCCCTTGAAAATTAGGTATAAACTCATATTCCTATTTATGTTCTGTCTATTCCAGGCATTGACCCTAGACCTATATGATCAAATATTATAGGGCACCAGAAATACCTGGAGTCCTCAAGTGCTTTCTAGGCCTCTGTCCCAGAGTCTCTGCTTCAGTAGGTCTGAGATGATGTATTTATGTCTCTCAAAAGATTCTAAGTGAGGGGCTGGAGTGATAGCACAGCGGGTAGGGCATTTGCCTTCCACGTGGCCAACCCGGGTTCGATTCCCAGCATCCCATATGGCACCGCCAGGAATAATTCCTGAGTGCAGAGCCAAAGAAACCCCTGTGCATCACCGGGTGTGACCCAAAAAGAAAAAAAAAAAAGATTCTAAGTGAATCTGATATGCTGGTTTGGATGTCACATTGACAACTAGTGTGCTAGGTTATGAACAGTCTGGAAGGAATCAATGGTTATGTCAGAAGATCCTTGACAATTAAAAGAAATTAGCACTGTAGCACTGTCTTCCCGTTGTTCATTGATTTGCTCGAGTGGGCTCCGATGACGTCTCCATTGTGAGACTTGTTACTGCTTTTGGCATATCAAATATGACACGGGGAGCTTGCCAGGCTCTGCCATGTGGGCAGAATACTTTCAGTAGCTTGCTGGGCTCTCTGAGAGGAACGGAGAAATAGAACCTGGATTTGCCACATGCAAGACAAAAGCCCTACCCACTGTGCTATCACTCCAGCCTAAGAGAAATTAATGGATAAATTTCACATAAAAACCCCATTATTTTCTGTGAATTCACAAAATAAAATGTGGGTGCATTCGGTACTGGCTCAAAGCGACCTCCCCAGCAGAGAGATGGGGGGTAGAGTGGAGGGGGGGTGTCACACAGGCACATACTCATGGTAAAAATGGCTCATTTCATGCAGAGCTGCTAGCATACTTACAGAACATCTGAGGAGGTTTGAGGTAAGAACATAGATTCACACCTATGTCCTTTACAACCTCAATTTATTGATCCTTTACATAAATACACATTTGGCAGAGGAAATTCTCTTGGGGGAATTAACTCAAGGAGACACTCTGCACACTCCCAGGGACATCTACATTGCTTTTTATCTTTTCCTCTATTTGTATATTATCAATATGCAGTTGTTTGGATAAACAGAGTAAAAGAAAAGTATCCCAAAATTTAGTTCTCTGGGTTCTGAGTGAGGGCAAGCAAGGCTTTTACCTTAAAACCCATACTAAGTCCTCAGTCCAGTACACTTGTCCTTCCCCAAGTAGGACCCGTCTCTTAAGTCATAACAGTTTGCATCAAGACCATGCATTTATGCTCTCTAGAATGTCCCATTTCGATGCCGGGGTAGCTTTACCGGTGGCTCTGGGTCCATCCCAGTCCCATGGTAGGATCTCCATTTTGGGGGGTTAAGAACTACAGCAACTGAAGCCTGAGTCAAATAATTATGACCAAGTAATTATGCCCAGGAGCAGATATATTTCAGAGTCAATCAACTCCCAAATATTAGGGGCATAGCATTAATGGTGTTTCTGTGTTTAACCAAAGAACATTGACCTATAGTAAAATATAAAAAGGCTATAGGGGAAATTAAAAAAGCAGATACAAAATACACAGCACTTCAAATATAAAGCAGTACAAATACAAGTTAAGAACTACCAGAAAGTTTTGACTTATAAGTAATCAAGACTGACTTGGAGGAAAACAGAATGAGAACACTATTTGGGTCTCCCAAAGAGGAATCGAAAGAGCTATGCTTGGAGTATCACGCTTCACTCAAATGAGAGAAAGAATCCGGAGTTCCAATCTCCGCCAACGGTCAAGAATCAGGGACGCTGTCTCATTTGTCAAGGCGTTGAAAATCAGATGGGCTGGACACGTAATGAGATTTGGAGACGACTGCTGGACTAGAGCTGTTACTGACTGGATTCCTTGGGACGTCAAAAGACCACGTGGCCGCCCACCTACAAGATGGTCAGACCTCTTTGTCAACACCCTGAATGATCAGTTTGAGGCTCTTCATGTTCCTAGAACAAACAGATGCCATTGGACTACACTAGCATGCGACATGGACAAATGGAGACATTACTGGCACCCGCTCGAGCAAATTGATGATTAATGGGATGTCAAGTGATCAAGTGATCAAGTGACTTGGAGGACTGAGACCATGAGAGGTAAAATACAAAGGAAAAGTTAAAGATAGACTTTAACTAAACTAGGGATGCTCATTAGTGCATGGTAAGCTTCTCTTGGAGGAGTAAAGGGGCAAATCACTGATGAAACCTAAAGTACTTAGGGTTAATATCCAACAGTTTTCTATATGCAATCCACAGTTTTTCTTGATGACGTCTCTAGCCTTCCTGATTAACATTAGAGAAGTTGACCCAGGGATGAGGAAAGACCCCAATAGAGTTAGCCCTTGGACCTATAGTTTCATACTTCAGAGCTGAAACCGTAGGACCTCTTGGAGGATGAGGAACTGCTGCCCAGAGTAGAGCCATCTTCTTATTTCCTCCTAAAAGGAATCCCTTCATAGACTCTCTGCCGATTGTGGCAGCCTCTGAGCACTTTCTACTGCTAAGGAAGGACCCCTTCCCAGGAACACTCATTTCCCAGCCACACATCCTGGCAGTGCTCATCTCACCTGCTGGGGAGAGGAGGAGAAAGCATTTCTTCTCTGCCCTTCCAAGTCCCATCATCACGTAACTGAGACCATACGTGTCCAATGAGATTTGGGAGCAACTGAGGAAGACAGTCAACCTCAGATGCTCCCTTTTCCGGCATGCGAAGTAAAATAAAATAAAACAATTATTTCTTTTAAAAAGAAGAAGTGTGCATAAGGTACCAGAGTGATAGTATAGTGGGTAAGGCATTTGCCTCATACGCAGTCGACCAGGGTTCAGTCCCCAGCATCCCATGTGATCCCCCCACCTCCAGTATCACCAGAAGTAATTTCTGACAGTTGAGCCAGGACTAACCTCTGAGGATCCCGGTGTATGGCCCAATCCCCTCTCCCCCAAAAGGGCTTCGCTTGCACAGGCTATCCCAGAGGACTTCTGCTACTCCAGGAGATTCCTTCTCCCAAGCTCTGACTCCATAGAAGTCACCCTAGAAGTGGGTGACAGACCCAAGCTAGGCCTGAGATCTTTGGTCCTAAATTGAGAAACAAGAATTAACTTCATTCAAAACCTCATTACTTGTAGGATAACACTGTTCTGTCCTTCCTGCATAACCTCAGGAATAGTTGATAGTTTATTGGACTGAGGAAAAGAGAAAAACACCTTAAGAGGCATTTTGCCCTTGGGCAGTCAGGAAGGGCTTTCTTATGTTGATTTGGCTACCTGACTGGGTGAAGTATCAGCCCAGACTAGAAGGGAGCTGGGGAATGAGAGAGCAGGGCGGAAAAGATAGACCACCGAGAGACTAGCAAGGGGAACGTGTGCTTGAGAGAACCTAGGCCCTCCATAACATAAAGTTCTTCTATGGGATAAACTTCCTTGTAATAAACTGCCACTAAGATCAACCGGCCTGGCCCTCATCTCTTCCTTCATCTGCCCTTGGCTAACAGCCGTTAGATCCAGGCCACACACAGCGGCTCAAGTGCACCGAACGAGGGCGGTGAGATAGAGCCGTCCGGAGAGCCCAGAAAAAACTTTCTGCGAGTATAGTTTTTTACAATGACTCATATTCTTTTTTTCACCCATTCTTTTCCTTCAGGCGTCAGGGGCACTGAATGCCCACAAGTCAGCCCACTCTGTCCAATCTAAGGGAAACTTGGCACAATAAATTCAAAAAGTTAAATTCGTTTATAAAAAAAAAAACTCCCAAAAAGTCAAGAAGGTGATATTAAGATAGCTCACAAGACTTAATTCCAAAGAGTCTAGAAAGTGGAGTTAAGACATCTCACAGGACTTAGTTATGGAGGTAGAACGACGTTTATTGCTCTGTGACTTATTGTTACATGGCATGTCCAGGGTGCTGGGGTTTCCCATCACGATATGTTACGGTTAAAGCTACCAACACACAAATCTTGCTAAGGAGCTTCCCGTGCCAGGAAATGCAGAGGATTTTAAGGATACCGTGACTCCATGCAACTGGACATCTTCAACTCAGTGGGACAAATAAACATTCCTGGCACAGGAAGCAGTTCCAGAAATGTTGCAAGACAGTTGACTAGTGGTACCGAGAGTTGTTTGAGTTCTAGGAAGTCCGTACACGCTCCTGCGGTAGGTATAGGGGTAAGAAAAAGGATCCCAAGGGGAGGTTTTGAAAGACGGGCTGGATTTCTGACGTGGGAACTGGCGAGGAGGTGTTCCAGGGAGGGCAGAAAGAAGCTCCGAGCAGGGACCCAGAAGGCGTGTGCTGGGGAACACCCAAGAAGCGCCCAGCTGGTCAGACTGGTCTGACGACGAGGAAGGACAAGGACGTTTGCCAAGAGGAATCTGATGAGAGACTGCAGGGAATTCTGACATCCAGGTGTGGTTCCCGGGCAGGTATGCGGAGGAGTCGGAGCTTCACCTCTGCTGCAGGGAGCCTCCTAGCGCCTCTGAACGATGCAAACAAGCACCAGGTGGAAACCGGGGCGGCTGGGCACGGGAGGGATCCTCGCCGGCCTCCTTTAGAAATAGGCGCCCTTCCCTCCGAAACTGGCTCCGCCTTTGGCTCCGAAACCCGCGCCCGCTAGGTCTCCGCAACCGCTGGGACCCCGGGGCTCCGAAAGCTCCTCGCAGGGCCCGAAGCTTGCATTGCCCTCTTGCCACTGGCTGTAACCACCGGAGCCGCAGCTGGGGGCCTCGATGTCCAGGTGGCACGGATGGGACTCGCGGCAGCCCGCGTCTCCGGGGGGCCCGGAGCAGGGGCTGGAGCAGCGCCGGGGCTCAGCGCAGGGCTCCGGGCTGGGGCAGGGGGCCGGCTCCGGGAGCGAGGGCCGCTCGCAGGGCTCCGGGAGCGGGAACGGATCCGCAGGTCCGCACACGACGGGGCGAGGCCGCGGCCGCGGGGCTGGCCGCGGGGCCGGGCACAAGCAGGGCTCCGACAGGCGCCGGGGCGGCGGGCACGGGCGGGGCTCCGGGCTCGGGCACCGCAGCGGGCGGGGGCGCAGGCGGGGCGCGGGCACCGGCCCTCGCGGCCCCGACGGCTCCGAGCACTGCGGCTGACCCCAGGAGGGGCGGACGCTGGGGAGTGGCCGCGGCCCCGCGCACGGGCGCAGCTCCGGGCAGGAGGTGCCCCAGGAGGTGCCCCAGGAGGGCCGCGGCGCGCAGCTCGCCGAGCAGCGTCCGACGGGCGGGATCTGAGCCGGGCACCGCCGGGGTGGCACCTGCTTGGGACAGCACGGGGAGGAGATCTCGATTCGGCACTTGGGTCCGCACCGCTGAGAGCTGCCCCGCGCGGGGCCCTGCGCGCAGCCGCTGCCGTAGATGGGCTCGGAGCGGCGGGGCGGGGTGCAGTAGTTGGGCTCGGACCCCGACGGGCAGCCGAAGCAGGGCGGAGCCCGGCGCGGCGGGGAGCAGCTGCGGTAGGGGGGCTGCAGCCGGCGCGGGGGGAGGCACCTGCTGGCGCTCTGGGAGCGGCGCTGCTCGGGGTACCCCGAATACTGGGGCGCGTAGGTGCCGCACGACGCCCGGGATGCGCGCGGGGGGGCCGCAGCGGCCGTAGGAGCCGCGGCACTGGAACTGGGGTCCGCAGCCGCCGTAGGAAGCCCCCGACTGCAGCTGGGGTGCGCGGCTGTCGCAGGACGCCGGGGGCTGGCGCCGGGGGACGCAGTTGCTGTAGGGCGCCCGGGCCGGGTACTGGGCCCCGCAGCAGCCCTGGTACTGGCCCTGGGTGGAAAACCTCCCTGGAGGCTGGCACACCGGGGAGTACGTGACGTAATTGGGGACCGCCGGAGGAGCTGCGTAGGGCACGTAGGTCGGAGCTGGGCATTCCACGAAGCACGTTTCCGTGTAACAAACCGGAGCGCATCCCACGTAGCAGGTCTGCAGAGCGCCGGCAGCGTCACTTGGCACGTAAGACATTCCGGTCCCGCCGGCAGCCTGGCACTGCACGTAGGAGCCTGGAGGCTGGCCCTTCCCTTGGGCTGTCATAGACTGGCCGGAGGCCTGGCCGTTCCCCTGGGTGGTCTTAGCCTGGCCTGAGGACTGGCATTTCCCCAGGGTGGTCGGAGCCTGGCATACTTGAACCGGGCAGGGTGCGGGGCACTCCATCACTTGCATCTCACAAGGAGCTTGGACCAACACCTGGCTGTTGGCGTAGGGGGACGGGGAAGGGTAGAAATAGGAGCCCTTCACACAGCACTGGGGCAGCGGCAGGCAGCAGGGGATCTGCTGCTGCTCACACATGGTTCCGATGGAGGCAGGAGAACGAGACCTGCGAGTGGAAAGGTCAGAGTTAAAAGGTGGAGCGGTTTGGGGGACGAGGGTCCCACGGGGAAGGCGGGAGGGCATCCCACTTCTTCCAGGTCCTTTGCTCCTCCCCTCCCTGCCCAACCTTTCCCCAGAAGTTCTTACTGAGTTAGCAGGACACAAGGTTAGTCATCACTGCCCAAGGACACCTGTCTTGGACTTTGCAAACCACCAGACTGAGGCTGATCTGGGAACTTCAAAGGCACAGCGGGTTGCTGGTTAACCTGGGTGGCGGGGAGGGGTGGGGCGCAGAGGGGAAGATTCCAGTGTTGAGCATAAGAGGGCGCTGGTGGCAAGAGAATACCCACACTGCTCAAAAATCTAAGTACTTGTTAAGAGAAGTCTCAGGAAAGTCGTAAGACCTTGCTCCAGAGTTCATGGGGAGCCTCAAGTAGGGACTTGGCACCCAGAAGAGCTCGACTATTCTGCACACATACCAGAAGGACATGCATATGTTCAAATATGTAAAAGCGAGAATACCCATTTTTTGCACCTTTTATGCTCAAATTATCCAGTGGAAAGTAAAAGATCCGGTCAGTTACTGAGCAGTCCTAAGCCAACATAAAATGCTGGCTTCTCTATATTCTGTTTTTTTCCTAGGTGAATTTGATTAGATAGATCCTCAGGGCCTTATATGAAAATAAAACAAAGCAAAACAGAAACTAGACACATGCAAACAAACCTGCCTTGGCAAAGCTCCAAAACAACATGGCAACTTGCCCATACAGGCTGCTGGCATTAGTCACCAGGAGTGAAACAATGTCTGCTACCTCAGAAATGTTCACTGCAAGCCTTTGAGAGGCAGCCTGGCGTTATAAGATGGGATAAATTTGGAAGGTGCCAGCTACCTAGTCGGAGTGACTTCTCCACAGCAAGTCATGCTTTCCTGTGTCTCTATGGGGAAACAGGACAACCTCCTCGCTTGTGTGTTCCCCAAATCCCCAGTTTTTATAGGCAGTTCAAAGAGAGCAAAGTAAGGGGTTTCATTTAAGAACATTCTCCTCCAACAAATCACTTCCCAATTTGCTCCTTAAATATTGAAAATACTTCAAATGAAGGACAATCCATGATCCATGAGAGAATATCTAAATGTATATGGATATAGATCTTATATATAATAAGGTATACTTAGTATATGTATATATTATTAGTTTCATCTACAAAAAAACATGAAGGTGGTAGCAAAGATGATTCAGGGGCATATATGCACTTTGGCAAAGTAACCTCCCACAAACAACTGCTCACAAGGAGGAAATTAGTCTGAAACTTTTCCAGAGAGAGTTGTCAAATGAGCTAAATAATATGTCAGGACAGGACCAAGTCAAAGGCAAATACCCTTGGCCTCAATATCCAGATTCCTCACACAGTCTTCACAGATATTCCCCAAAGGACCACCAGACTTCCCTCAGACACCACTCTTCTTCCTCTGCCCCATCTTCTCCCCTAATGGTCTCAACCTTGTGAATCTGGTCACTGAGCCTCACCGCGCTCCCCACAACTCCCCAGTCCCAAGACCAAAACTCCTATACTCACCCTCCTCACAGGTAAGCAGTCATTCAGGCTAAGGAATCTGGACAGAGGGCAATCTTTATATAAAGGCTCCTGGGCCTGGCTAAGACCATGAGACAATCAGTTGGCATCTGTCTGGTTCATCACCCAGGTTAACATTCCAGCAGGCAGCTCCCTCCCTGGGTGCCTGTCCTTGTAATCACCTAGGAAGTGTGGGAGTGTCTTGCTTCAATGTCTGTTTCTGGACTATGAAGAAACATAATCTTATTTTCATTTGGTCTATTTACCCTATTAGTTTCATCTCCAGAGAACGTGAAGATGGTCGAAAGCATAATTCAAGACCGTACCTTTCTGTTTGCCTTGGATTCTTGTCAGATTGTTCAGAAAAGAGAACTGTTTCCGTAACTTAAAGTAACTGAAATCACCTCAAAGAGAAAAGTAACTCTACACCATGAAGACAAGGTTGGGTCAGAGCTGACTCAAACGTCCCAGCGACTGTGTGGCCCTTATAACCAATTTGAGTATTAATTTACTCATCTACAAGATGGTGATAATTGAATCTTTCCTGCATTGTTGGGAAGATTAAGGTCATTAATTTTTACAAAAAATATCCAGTGAAGAATAATATTCAAAACATCCAAAATCTGCTTAGTGAATAAAAGATGAAAAGATACAAAAACAGCTGAATTAATTTTTTTTTTTTTTTTGCTATATCCCTGTCATGAGCTCAGGATCCAGATGACCTTACAGCACACACTCAGCTAACACTTTGGAGTTCTTGAAGACAGTGCAATGTAGGGCAGAAATATTACTCTAAAATCGTATGACGTACAGTCAAGTCAAGAAGGGTTATCTTTTGCTTACACAATGTTTGCTTATGTTATTTTGTAAACAATGATTACATTTAACAGTAGAGATATTTTTCTAAGATTTTATATATCCAGATTTTCTTCTAGCCAAATTATCTGGCATAGGTGAACCAACCCACAGTCATGATGAAAAGCTCTCAGATAGGATATATACTTTTATGTTCTGTAATTTTTCATCATCTTTACTACTTACACAATGCTTCTTTTTATTATTATGTATGCCTTTTGGGGTAAAGATTAGATTTAAAAATAAATAGTGAGTCCTTCTGGCTGGATTATTTCACTTGTTCTTGAAACCCTCACCAAGTGTGGGATCAGAGACTAGCAGATTTAAGGTTGAATCTGAGTTCTGTACTTGCTACAGGGATAAGTACAATTTACAATTTATCTCCTATATGACTGAGAGTATGTGTGTACATATGTGTGTGTGTGTGTGTGTGTGTGTGTGTGTGTGTGTGTGTGTGTAAAATGGTGTAATGGAAAGGGGTATATGGAGAATAGGGAAACTTTGCCCACTATATAGGCAATATAAATTAGTGTAGCCAGAAAATTTCTCAAAACAAAAATTCCCAAATAATCCAACTATTCTTCCTGTGGCTGTTTACCAGAAGCATACAGACACAATAATTAAATATATATATGTATCTTTGTTCATTGCAATGTATTATATATTATAAAAAGATGAAACTTTACAAATGGGATGAATCTATAGACTTATATTAAGTGAAATAATCTGAGAACAAATATCATATGGTTTCACTCCTCTATAGAAACAAGAGAAGTAAAGCAAGTAAACAAAATGAAATAAAAACTAACTCAGATTCTGACAAAAGAATAGAAGCTACCAGAAAGAAGGATTAAAATTACCTTAAAATGATAAGAGGCATAAATAGTATTGTGGTCAAGAGAAATGACTTTTATCAAAATTGTGATCCAAAAATAATACATAGTATGATTCAGTATATACAATGTGAAAATATAAATATCTCCACTTGAAACTTATGAATTGTTATAAGTCTATATTGTTTTCATCAATTTAAACTAAAAATAAAATAATAAGTAAAAATGAATAAAACGAGAATGAGAAAGAAAAAATAAAATAGAAATAAAAAAGGAATAACTTTTTGAAAAGTCATAGGATTACTGTGTGAATTAAATAAGGTAACTAGTGTAAGGTACTTGATACTTCATAATTATCCATAATCTAATTATGCAATACTTATATTGAGCTTCCTGGACTTCTTTTGTTTCCTCATAAGAAGCTGGGAGTGAAAACATTTACTTCACAAAGGAGTCATGAGTATAAAATCGTGTGTACAAAAGTTCTTGGTGACTGTAGCAGAGACTTCAATAGTGTCTATAAAACCCCTCCTACTTGCAAGTCTCTTTAGGATCTGAGTTTGTGGTTCTATTAATTATTTTAAAAAGGTCTCTGAGATATTATTCCAACGCTAAGTAAGAGCACAGACTTTTACATGTTCAGAATAACCAAAAACCTTCCACCTCTCCCAGAAGCATAAATGATCTTATCCCACAATGGCTTTTTACAATGAGGACTCTGAAATACAAAGAGCTGAACCTGTCTAATTTCTAAAACTAAGGACTTGTGGCAGTAAAGAATGGAGCAGAGGGAATATTCATTGTATCTCTATTCCCATACCAGGACTCTTTCTACCACAATATGTACATTTTGGCCAAGTTACTCCAAATTTAGATAGCCCTTAATTTAATATTTCTTAAGACCTAAGAAGTAGTCAATCAAGCAATGAAGAAAGAAAACCATGTCTCTCACATGAATCTCTATAGAATGTGCACATCTTGGAGCGAGAATTTCTTAATTATCTTTCTCTTGTGATTCTTGATTTAAATAGTTGATGAATGAAGGGATGGATGGATGGATGGATGGATGGATGGATGGATGGATGGATGGATAGGTGGATGGGTGGGTGGATGGGTGGGTGGATGGATGGATAACATGAAACTTGGCTTGGTTCATATATCATAATGAGTTCAATTATAGACCAAGAAGTTCTGTAACCCTTGTTACTTCTTTTTCACAAGGGGATTAAGGGTCAGGGGATGGACCCAGAATTTAAGTTAGAGATATCAGAGTTTTCAATCTTATCTATAGAGAGAGATGATGCTATTCATAAATATTTATGGGGCCCGCCCGCTGCTCTCTGGAAAGAAAGATGGCGGCCGCACGGGAGCCTTGTGGAAAGCGGGTTTGAGCCGGGCTCGGGGAAGCGGCGGGGACCTCATGGGAAGGGGGGCTTTGTGGGCCGTCCCCCACGCCCCACCGAGGTCGCCGGCTGCCCCCCACGAGCGGCTCTCCGGCACGGCCACGGCCCCGGAGGCACAAGGACTTAGCACAGAGAACCAGCCGCTTGGAGCAGAAAAGCAAATGGACTTGTGTTGATGCGCGCCACCAAGCCTGCCCGGAGGGGGAAGGGCGTTGACCGGCCCGCCCGCTGCTCTCTGGAAAGAAAGATGGCGGCCGCACGGGAGCCTTGTGGAAAGCGGGTTTGAGCCGGGCTCGGGGAAGCGGCGGGGACCTCA